AGATGGAACTATTGGAGAAGGATAGTGATTTAAGTTTGTTGAAAAGAATGGGATGTTTAATGGAATCGAATGCTTCGGAGAAATTAAGAATATAAGGACAGTTAATTTTTTATCATCTATCGTAGTCTGAATATCACTGGTAATTTTAATTAAGGCGGATTGACTGGAGTAGCCGGGATGGAAACTAGATTGGAGAAGATCAAGTTTGTTGGACTTTTCAAGGAAATTGAAAACTTAGGATTGCACCAATTCTTCTAGGGGTTTTGAGAGACTGAAAAGAATTGAAATTGGGCAGAAATCTTCAAGAGAAGAGGGATTAGACTTTTTATTTAATGGAATAACAATGGCTTTTTTCCAAGAGGTTGGGAATACTGAATTGTGTAGGGAAACATTGTAGATGAAAAGGAGAACTGGGAGGATTTCAGGAAGACATAATTTTACTAATTTGACTGTGATGCCATCTGTTCCTATGGAATTGGTGTGGGATTTTATAACAGCAGTTAGAAGGTCAGTGGTAGAAATGTCGAAGAAACAAAAGTCATCATCATTGAATGATGACTCAGGAGCAAAGTTGGAAGAGGAGGAAAGAGAAGAGGCAGAAATTACATGTGAATTTAAATCGTTAGGTGAAATGGGAAAGACTAGTGAGCAAGGGGATCTGGAAAGTTCACAGAGGGAAAGTTTCCGAAGGATTAACCATTTAGATTTGAAATCAGGAGCAGATGCGAGGGTTTCATGGAAGTAGGTAGCTTTATCTATGTTAAAGATGCGCTTTTAAGAATGATTTAACCAGAGAGTTCAGACGGTCACACGACGCCGATTTGCGTGAACTGTGTCCGGGTAATATAATTGAGGTAATTTCATAGCGGCGAATCAAATGGGCTTGTAAAATTGTTGGGCTTAGTAATAAGAGAATTCCTAAAAGGTTAATATTTGCTGTACCGAATGGTAAACGTCCGAGGTGTATACCGAAGCGAAGGTGAGAAGATTGCATTAAAGCCGATCTGGAGGGACTGGGTTTAGACGCCGAACGATGGAAGGAGGTGTGTAATAAGCGGTTGGTGGTCTTGGCATTGAACCTTCGGGTTCGCTAAGCCTTTTTGTTATTATTATTAGGTTGCTTTAGCTCACCGAATCCTTGTCCGTGTCAAGTTGCGGAGCACTCTAAACGCTTCATAGTCGTCAGCAGGCCTTGTACGCCTGAAGCGTTTGCGGGCAGCATCATGCTTCTTTTGCAAATCCTTAATTTCCTGACATATCCAAAGTGCAAGCTGACAGCGAAGGGTAGTGGTTTTAAGGGGGCCATGGATATCAAGGATACTGATGAGGTTGGAAGTGAGAGCGTCGACCATGGTGTTAATAGAGTGACTGGAATATATCCTATTCCAATCTAGTGATTGGACATCGGGTATGATTTTTTCACGTGTGAGGGAATTCAGGTTGCGATAAGTAAAGGTTCTAGATTGTATCAGAGGGGTTTGGATGTTATAAGATATTTGGATCAGGTCATAAGAGGATAGGAAGGAGACTGGTAATTGCGAGGAGGAAAGAAGGTTTTGATTAGAATCAATAATATATAGATCCAAACAAGTATCAGATCTAGAAGTGTGGTGAGTGGAGGAAAAAGGAAATATGAAGAGATGGACAGAGCACCTTATCACTTGTTGATAAGGTTCCAATATTATTTTTGAGCTTATATATTTGAGGCGTATTTTAATCTAATCTTCGGCCAATGTATTCTAAAGAAAGACTAAGATTTTTCAAGCCTGAGCCTTTAATATTTTTTGTCAGTTTTCATGTACGCAGGTTGCCTCAAGGGATTTCTTCAGCTGTTGACTCCAATACCAACGTCTTGTTCACTTCATGCATGATTTTGGGTTCTTCTGCTCAGATGTGCAGTTTAAACAATAACTCGGTACTACTGTTGAAGTGTTGGTCCCCTTTGACGATTGGGCTAAGATCTCGGGTTTAATCTATTAATGGGATTCCGAGAATGGCCGAAGAATGACAATATGTTACGGTATGACCTCTCTTTATTTAGATCGAAATTTACGTCTTCCACAACTGGTGATTATAAATCGAGGTCTTAATTAGCTTCAATAACATTGCAGTTTTCAACTTACGGTAGCTCAAAATGGACATACATACCCACAATGGCTCCTTTTCATTTGAGGTCGGGACACAGGCGGATCTACAGGGGGTCTTTCGGGCTGAGGCTCTCCCCCCCAAAATGGTAAAATATTACCATGTTTTACAGAAAAAAATATTAAAAACTATCTCTTAAAGTCTTCTTGTCCGTGTAATTACATTTAATAGGACTTCAAGAACCACTTAAACACCATATCATATAGATTGTTAATTTCTTTCTTTTTTTTTCAAATTAATTATTGTTATATGTATATAAATAAAAAATCTTTCGGGCTGAAGCCTCCTCCCCCCCCCCAAAAAAAAATTAAATTCTGGATCCGCTAGTGGGTCGTTACCTTACCAAACGTTTTAGTTACCTCTGTCAACTTTTGGACATACTGTGCCATTCTCGGAATTCCATTCCAATTGTGATCATGAGATCTTGTGCCCACAATCAAATTGGAACAATTGTATAGTAGTACCAATAGCTTATTTCATAAAAATCATATTTTCTTTTTATTAGTAGTATTGAAATTTACAACTGTATATGATAAATGCAACAATTAAATTTGATCAAGTAACATGACATGTTCAACATGAAGAGAAACTACGCATTGGTAGCACTCCAATTAATAGGCATCTGGATTGAGCTAAATCGGAAACATATGGAACATTGAGGTCGAAGGATTTTGGATTGTAGGGATTGGATACGAGAGGAATTTGATGGTTTAGTAGAGCCCCAAAGCTTGATCCCGTAAGTCCAAATAGGCCTTATTATAGTAATATATATGACTCCTATGTAAATCGTTGGAAGTTTAGAGCGTTTGTCTAGTAAGTGCTGCAGTAGTCGAAAATGTCGGCCGGTTTCTAGTCGTTTCAGTCTGGTATGGGGGTTCCAAGTGAGTCGTTTGTCCAGGTGGAGTTCTAGGTAGCGGATTGGTTTAACAGAAACAAGTGGAATATCATTGAAGGATATTGTAGGACAAGAAGTTGTAGGTTTATAACGAAGGATAAAAGTAATTTGGTGGGATTTATTGGAATTTATTTTAATTCACCAGTTTTGACACCATTTTTCAAGACTTGTGATGTGTGATTGAAGAGTTTGGGATGCAATAAATGGATCGTTATTAATTGATATAATAGGCATTTTTGTGATTTACTTTGAAGTATCTGCCAGTAAGGTAGGAACGGATAATGAGGAAGTATGTAGGTGGTAGGAATTTACCGAGTTTGTACATCAGTCCCGGATGCCAGACTCTATCAAACGCATTTCCAACGTCGAGAAAGATTCCCGTGCAGTACATTGCACTCTCCAATGTAGAGGAGACTATATCTACCACACGATGGCATTGCTGAATAGTGGAATGGGATGTGCGGAATCCAAATTGGTGATCTGGGATAAAGTGTTTAGAGTCTAGGATGGGATACAGGCGTTTTAAGATGAGTTTTTCTAGGATTTGCCCATAATTGGTAAAAAAGAGATAGAACTGTAAGAGGATGTGTGTTCTGGCGGCTTTATGGGTTTAGGTATTATTTTGACCATGGATAGTTTCCAAGAGTCGGGAAAATATGTGGTTCGGAGTACAGCATTATATATATAGGTGAGGAATAGTATGGCTTTTTAAGTAAGTAGTTTTAGGGTCTGGGATATGATTGGGTCATGGCCAGGAGCTTTGCGGGAAGGTAATCTATGAATGATATTGGATATTCCTGAAGGATGAAATGCTTTAGGTGGAGGAGTCAATTGGAGTGGGATATCCAATTCTGTTTCAATAAACTGAAGGTGGATTGGAATAAGGATATCTAGGCGTGGATTAAATGTTTTGAAGAGGTGCTGAGCAAATATTTGAAATTTTTCTTCGTCAGATCTGGACCAGGTTTGGGTTTCAGTAATGAGTGGGTGGTTAAAATCTTTGAATTTAAGGAGCTTTTTAGTGGTCAACCATAGAGATTTGTCATTAGTAGCAAGTTTTTCTGTCATTTAGTAAATTTTGAACTTTGTATTTTCTAATTTTAACTTTTAGTTGATAAGTTAATTTGTTGTAACATATCTCATCTAATGTTTATCTAGTCCTGTGCCACTTCGATCTTGCTTTGCGTTATTCCCTTAATAACATACGAATATGCTGTGGCAAATTTGTCTGTTGGGAGTTGTTAATTTTATTGGTAGATGAATTATCGTTTATTTTGTCACTTATAGATGTAGTAAGTACTTCTATGGCTGAGTCAATGTCATGTTTCGTCTTAAGTGGAATATTTAGGTCCAATTTATTTTCTAGGTCTTTAAGAAATTTGTCGCAGTGTACTCGTCCTGTAATCAGTGTAGGAGAAGACGAAGGCTTAGGAGCGAAGCTTGTGTGTAATAAAAGCAGAACTGGAGAATAATCTGAGGAGAGGTCATCCAGGGATTTGATTGAGACATGGGAAGAGGAAATCTGGGAGGTGACGAATATGTCCAAGATATCAGCGCGTTTTTGAGGGATGTTGGCCAATAGGCAGGATTCATAGGAGAGAGGACAGAGTAACTATTGGAAGTTGAGACGGAAGATAGTATGTTACCAAGGGAGATGGATGCTCGACAACCCCATCGTTGGTGTTTAGCATTGTAGTCTCCTAAAAAAAAAATCATATTAAATTAAAGATATATTACCATGATTACTTATATTTAATCGTGAAAATAAATAAAGAGTTTGTATTCAAACTCTTTATTTATTTTAATAAAGAGTTAATAAATAAATAAACTCTTTATTATTAAATACTTCACATTAAAGTCATAACTTGTTCTATACATTACGAAAAAACCTCGCTGTTCCAATGTGCCTTGGTTCTGTTATAGGTTATTGTAATTTGAAAAGGATTGAAAATCAAAACAAAAAAAACATGGGAAGGTTATAATTTAAGTAATAATGTTACCTGTCAATTTAAAAATTTTATAAATTTTTACCTTATAAATATGTATTTTCCGGTTGGTTGGCCAAAAGTTTTAAATATTAGTAATACCTTAAATTGCTCAATTCGTCAATTAGTGTGTAATAGGGATAAAATTTTATTTGCGGTTCTAACGGATGACAGTTTACTGGTTTATTATTGTAAGGTATCGTAAATTTATTTGATATTTTTTATGATTTGAAGTGATGATTAGTTAAACTAAAGTACTAATGTGTTTATTTATTTTTTTGTTGTTAATATATATAATCCATTTGATGTTTTTGATAGTCAGTTATGGTTTTAACATTTTTTTCTTTATCACTATAAAAGGCAGATCTGTAGGAAATGTTATAGTTAACTACAGTAGTAGTAATCTATTTGGATTGAGTATGTGATGTGAAATTTAATTGTTTTATTAACTATTCCTGCCTATCTTTATAAGGTAGTTATCTACATATTTAGTAATTTTGAGAAGTTTGGTTGACTATTAGTTTCTAGACACTTGTGACTAATTGTTTCAACCATTACACATTTGTTCAAGCATAAATTATAATTATTCATAAGATGCAGTAAGTTGATAATAGAATATGTGAAGAAATAGATATTGTTTAAAAGACATAACAGTGGATTTTTACAGATAGAAATGGGTGATGAATTTGACAGAGAATTGAACGATTTGTTAAAAGTAGTAATTCTACGGTGGACAAATGATTGGGATATTCCCATTTTAAGAATATAGTATTGGATGTGTTTACTTCTTTACAGTTTTTTTCGTAATAAAAAAAATGAATGATTGAGTGCACTTTCAAAAAACACAAAACTATATTTTATCAAATTTTACAAAGCAGAGATTTTTTAAGAACACAATTCTTTCTAACTGACAACAATAATTAACATCTGTTTTTTAAATATCTTTTAGAATAGTTGTTTTGCCTGGAATTAAAAATAATATATTTCACTTTGTATTCAAACGTAATAAATCAAACGTTCATGGTTAACAAATTCCGGAACACAGTTTAATGAAATGCAATTAAAATTGGTAAATTCCATGCCATTGATCTGGAATGTGTTATCAATGTTAAGTGTGGGAAAAATCATTTAAAAAATATGAAATTGTACTAAATAAAGAAATCAGACCATCATTAGCAAAGATGCAGCAAACAGTTTTTTTATTGGACTTTCCAATATAGTATTTTCCAGTATCAGTATCATCCATTTGCCTTCCTTCCATTTATATAAGGAAATCATGTGAAACTTCTATCAATATTTATTAATTTTCATGTAATTTTAATCTTAAAGTTGTATGTAAAATTTAATAAGATGTTTTATTTAATCAAAATAGTCTCCACTACTATCAACACATTTCTGTCAACGTGTTGGCAACTTTTTTATTCTCTCAAAATAGAATTTCCCATCTTTAGAATTGATAAACTCCAAAAACGCATTTTCTGATTCTCTTTGTCCATTAAATTTTTTGCCATGTGAGTAGTATTCCAGGTGTCTAAGAAAATAATAATACTCAGGTTAGAGGTCCGGAGAGTAGGACGGATATGGCAGAGTTTCATATCCAAGCTCCAACAGTTTATGTGGCTGGGTGTTGACATGCAACAAAATGAGCTCCTTCCGATTGACCAAAGATGGCTTCATTGTTGCCAATTTCTGATGCATTGCATTAATTTGGTTACAATACGACTCGGCATTGATGGTTTCTCCAGGATTTAAGAAGCTGTAGTATATCAAACCAAATGAAGCCCATCAGCGGTTCTAACGGATCATGACAGTAACCATCACCTTTTTTGAAGAGTTGGGGGCTTTGGAAAATATTCTGCTGCTTTTCCTTTGTCGACCCACTGTCCAGAACGTCTAATATTAACGTAAAGTATCCACTTTTCATCACAAGTAACAATTATGGACAGAAAAGTGTCGTTTTGTTTCGCCATAGAAGTGCAGCATAAACTTCATAAAGCTGGTTTTTTTGGTGGTCATTTAATGTGTGCGCAACCAAATTTTCAAGCTTATCTACCTTTCCAATCCCCTTGAGGTGGTCATCGACAGTCGATTTGTTAAGGTGAATTTTCCTTCCAAGTTCTCAAACAGTTGTTCTGGGGTTTTCTTCCACCAAAGCCCGCAGTACATCGTCATCAAGACAGGAGGAAGTCCTTCCATGACCTTTGTCTTCAAGACTGAAGTCTCGCTCATGAAATTTTTTGAACCACCTTTGAACAGTACACTCAATAATGCTGCTCTCGCCCCAGATTTGATCGATGTTTCCGGCAATCTGGGCACCATTCCGGCCGAGTTTACAAAATTATACGAAAATCTTAGTAAAGACTGAATTATTTCCAAGCAGCAAAATGCTACAGAGGTAAAAAAACCTTATCATTTGGTAGAAGATTGATAAGTGTTGATATTCATGCTAATGAATAATCCAGTAACAGTTTGTCGTATAGAGCGGTATTTTAAAGAAAACTCAAAATTCTGGATTATTTTCCGGACAACCCAATAATAGTGCAAGATATCGCTGTCAAAGGACCTTTTCATATCATTAAATAATATTCATATTTTTAATATTTAAGCTTTTTATTATGAAGTTTGTGCCTATTTTTTACTTCATTTACTAATGTTCCACTATTAGTTTTACTTTAATTAATATCATTCTATTTTAAGCTAAATTGAAAAAAGATATTTTAATTAGTTAGGACTAATTAATTTTCTCTAAAAATATTTAGGGTTATTCATATTTTTAGTGAGATTTATTATACTTAATCTATAATTGATTATAAAGGAAGGAGATGGTTCGGGGTTACGGTCATAAATAGGCTAAATAGTGGTAAAACTATTTTATTGAAAGCCAACGTTTCGACCCGACTTTGCAGGTCTTCATCAGGGAGGTGTGTTCATCTATTAGTTTCACTTAGAACAATTTGAGTTCTAAGTGAAACTGCTATGGTTGACCATGGTTTTATACCTTACCGCGTAACCAAATTTTAAAGTTTAGGTACTTGTTTGACGCAAAATTTAACGTTCTTAAATTTATTAAAGAATACATTTTTCGCTTTGATGCATTGTTTAGGAGTTATAGGTCAAAAACCCAAAAAATATCGAAAAAATCTGACTTTTTTGGCTGTAAAAAGTTTTCCCTTGGTGGCCCGCGTTAGCAATTTTGTTTTTTACATGTCTAAACCCATATATGCAAGTTAAAAAAATAAAAACTTTTCCCACATTTTTCGCAATGGATTTCCCGTTTCGATCCTCAAATCACTGGCCTAATATTCTTTAAATCAGCCGCCATTTTTGAAAGCAGCGGCTCTGGAACGGCAGACAAGTTTTTTTTTACTCAGAATAACATAAACTTTCGTAATTTACAATCAAACCTTCGCCTGCGATCAGGTCGATTTTTGGGCCCTGGCTCCAGGGCTACCTGGCCTTACGGTCATCTCCCATTATGTTAACATGCCCGTACCACTTCAACTGCCTTTCTTCAATCGTTTCTACGACGGATCTAACTCCTAGTTCATCATTCCTTTACCCTTTCATTCCTTATTCGATCTTGCAATATACAATATTTCCTGTTTATGAACATGGTCGAAAGCCACCTGTAAATCTAGAAAAGCTAGATATGCTGCTTTACCTCTATTCCATGCCTTCTCTGCAATCATTCTCAGGGAGAAGATATGATCTTGTGTCTGCCTACCCAGCCTAAAACCTGTTCCTCTTCCAGATCTTCTTCCGCCAATTTCCTTAATATTTGTTCCAGAATTCTAGTGTATACTTTGTATACCACCAATGACAGACATATGGGGCGGTAATTATTGCACACACTTTGGCTTTCCTTCTTATGGATTGGGATAATGATGTTGTTTTCCCATTCAATGGGTATCCTTTTGAGATCCCAAACCTTTTGGAATAGTGTTTGGAGACACTTGACTAGCTCAGTTTCTCCATATTTTATAAATTTGGGTGCAATCCCATCTAGCCCAGCTGATTTTCCCATCTTTATTTCAGCAATGGCTGCTTCAGCTTCCTTCTCTTCTTGGTGTCATCTATGTCGGGGAATTCTGGTTTAGTTCTTCTACATCTTCAACGGCAATCTCGAAAATTTTGCTGCCTTTCTTCCATTCTGAATTTTTCTTGAAAGTATTTCCTCCAAACCTCCAGTATATCCTTGTCTTCTGTCACCAGCATACCATGCTCATCCTTTACACTTCTCACAGGCTTTGCTTTTTTGTTCCTTAGTTCTCTTGTGATGTGCCAGAATTTCCTTATATTTTCTTTATAGTTTTTATCCAGTTCTAGCCCGAATTCCTCCCAAGATTTTCTCTTCTCTTCCTTAACTATTCTCTTAGACTGGTTTCTTTTCTCTATGTTCAATGCCCAATCTCCTGGTGACTTGCTTCTACAGTACTGTTTCCTGGCCTTTTTCTTTGCAGATATGACTCGTTTCACGTCCTCGCTCCATCACCTAGTTTTCTTAGTAGTAGGTCTTATTTGCTGTAAACCACATACTTCCTCGGCTGCCTTGAGTTTACTGAATTTGATTTGCACCCAAATAGTGTCAACATCTGTGTCCTCATTAACTTCTTGAAGTTGGATTTGAAGGCAAATTGTGTAAGCCTGCTCTTTTTCCTCTTCTCTTAGCTTGTTGACAGCTATCCTATTATATGACTTGGTGATCTTTTTCCATGGTTTTAGTATCTTGCAGTCAGCAACCAATAGCCTGTGATCTGTATTCAATTCTGCTCCTTGTATAACTTTAATGCCTGTGAAGTACTGTCTGAGTTCCCTATCGATGATAAAATAATTAATGATGCTATTTCTGGTAACTCTTCCCTTGCCTCTTTCAAATGTGATTTTATGGATCATCTTGTGGTTATACCATGAGATTCCAATAAGCATATCATTTTCCACGCAAAACTCAATTAGCCTGGTTCCATTGTTATTGATGTTATCTTCACCAACCCATGAACCCATCGTTCCGAAGGCTGCTTGATGATCCCGACCTGTTCTTGCTTTTAAATCTCCGGATACTATGATCATTCTATTCCCGTTCCTTACGTTGTCTACTATTCTCTGCAGGTCTTCATAAAACTTGTTTTATCTACAGTGGCAGAATCTTCGGTAGGGGTCATATACCTGTATCATGGTGACTTTTCCGATGGAGAGCTCAATGTCCATAGTGATAATCCTAGATGATATGGGTTCCCAGGCTTCTACTCTATCAAATAAATCGTCCTTCAGGACAAAGCCGACACCTTCTCTGGCCCTTTGTCCTATATTAAATCCTGAATATATCATACTACACTCTTCTGGGAGTTTTACCAATCCATTCCCTTTCTTCTTCACTTCACTTCACATCCAATAATATCCACCTTACATCTTTTTAATTCCTCCACCAGTTCTCTCTTATATTCCAATCAGTAAAACGTAACTCCTTTTTCCTGCTATAACCATATGACTGTCCGGATCTGAGGATTATTATATTTCTTTGAATCAATTTACCCTAGATGGGTGATTGGCCTGATGCTAGAAACCTCTTATCCTCGGAACAACTGGCCTCCTGAATGTTTGAATCCCCTCAGGAGAAAGGGTGGCTGGGCTATATCCATCAGCTCTGGGTACCCGTTGATCCACGGGTCTTTATTCATTATATTCAGACCATCCCTCCTAGGAGGGATCCCCCATCCGCCACCTGGGGGACGCACTCCCTAGCGGCAGGTTCCGCCAAGAGTACTTTGTTCCATTAAATGTAAAAAAAAATTGTCTATACATAATTTTATACCTTCCATGTAATTTTCTTATTTTTTATCTCGTTATAAGGTTGTAAATTTTCCCAATTATCTTCTAATATTTTAATTACTTTTTTATTGGTATATTTGTAAATAAGTAATTATTGTGCTATCAATTATTGATGATAAATGTACAATAAAATGATTTGTTAATGTTGTAAGTCTAATCTTAAGTTTACCAGAGAACCCATTGTAAAATGAACTAACGGAAAGGGAAAGGGAACAATGAGGAAAAAGATGACAAGAGTAGTAGAACTGCCTTAGGATAAGGATTATATAATTTGAGATACATGATCTTTCTAGGAAAGCATTTGATGGAATATGACCCTAGAGCTTTCAATAGAGGAACATTATGTATCTAGAGAATGATTTAGCCCCTAATGTGACTGTTTTGGAATTTATGTTCGAAATGGATCAAAGTACCTACTAATTTGTATAAAAGTAATATAACAAATTTACTTATTATGTTTCGCAGCTTAAATTGTCCTTCTTCTAACTTCAAATTTTTGAAACAAGCTACTCTAAAGTATAAAATATATTTTTGTCTTAATTATAGTTTTAAATAATGTAGGGAATCATAATGAATACCACTTTTTTCTGACTTTATTATCGGTTTATTTATGAAATATTAACTTTTCACTTCATTATTGTACACGATTTTTTTATTTTAAGCAACACATTTATATCATTATGGCGGACATCACGGAACTCGGGAATAGTATTTTATTATTATTTTTTTTTTTTTACAGCCATGTTTACTCTTAGTATTACATCGAAGAAAGCAGCAGCTTTTAGACGAACAAGGAATGAACGAGCTGGTCGAATGGAAACCAGATTCCAGTGCTCTGATAGTAATTGTATGTATTAAATTTTCAATTAATTTAATTTTAAAATTACTTTGTTTTTATTATTGTGTATTCCTATTGAATAGGTTTTATATTTAAAAAATCTATATCTGTCTTTGTTTCAGACTTCTGGAGGTGTTATATTATTGTACAAAGTAGTATGTGACCCTAACAATAGAGGCGCATATGAACAAATAGACCCACCCCAACCTAACCTTCGCAGAGATAGTGCTGAATTATTTATAAAACAAGTTATTCCTAATATCAACATTAATTTGGTATATATACATATTTTTTGTTTAAAATATTTTATTAGCGTGTAAGTTAATGTTAATGTTGTCATGAGAATTTTTTTTAAAATTTATTACATATAACTTTTGGAAGCATAGTAATAAAAACCTACCTACTTCTAACGTCCACTTTTATTTTATAAGGTTTCAGAGACTTCTTTTCTGCTACTTTTGAGGAACAATGAGAATAGATCAGCAAACAAAGTTACAAGCTAATGCAGTTCAATGATTCTCTTTGTTATAACCATCATATTTTAATTTATTTTTCTAAATTGGACAAAATTGATTCATTGATAACTTAGTTTGTTAACATACCCATTTATATAATCAAATTGTAATTTTCTGATCATCAATTTTGTTATTTTGTATTTTTTTTCTTATTGTTGTTTTGAATTTATATTTATGTGTAATGTTGATAATATGTTACTTTTGAGAAAGCATTTTTTAAGATCTATAATTTGTTTTAAAATTCCTCTATATATCTGTTTTCAAGTTTAATGTATTATGTGTGTGTGTGTGTGTGTGTGTGTTTTATATATATATATATATATATATATATATATATATATATTTATTTATTTATTTATTTAGGTGAAAGAGGTTTCTGTTGGCTGTGGAATTACTAGTATAAGTTGTATCAGAGATGAACTAATGGTAGCCACTACGCAATGTCAAATACTTAGATATAAGTGGGATTTGACATTGAACCGTGACTATTGTGTGGAGTTAAACCGTGTTCCATTTTGTTTGGATCAGCAAGCATCTAAAGGTATGTCTATATCTTTATTACCTTACTCTGCTTTCTATTTTTCTGAGTTAAGGTAGAATTTTGCTGGTACTATCCACCAGAGTATTTTGAAATGATTACTGATAGTTCGTTCTGGCCGCATTTTGTTGGCACTATTCGGCAATCAAACAATTTCATCACCCAACTGCTTCATTCTTATCCAGGATCTTGAAGGTGATGCTTTAGCGCTTATTAGTCTTTTAGGTATTCTTTCGTAATTAAACCCAACTATTTTATTCGCCACAATGTCATCACTTCAATTTCATTAATCGGATATAGTTCACGCAATTGGGCATTGTGGAACCATCTAAATTCTCTGGTTGATTCATCCTTCTTCAGTACAGATTTCTGATACTGTAGGATAAACTAATTGCAATTCAAAATTTTTGAAATTTAAAAGCAAAATCCAAAATAAACTTCAAGTCATAATGAATACTTGATAGCTGACCGTTGTAAATTTTAGAGAAAGGAAATGGTCCGGGGGTGACAGTTATAAAAATACTAAAATAGTGAAAAAATTATTTTATTTCAAGCCAACATTTGCAGGTCTTCTTCAGGGCTAGAACAAATAAGATAAAAAAGGGACATAGAAAAATGTGAATGTTACATAATATTTAGATACAAATTATTAAACTGAGATTATAAACTCTCATAACCTACCAAGCAATTTTCCTCCTTCACGTACAACAAAACATCGCTAATATGGCAAAAAAACTATATAATTGTGTCCAGTGGACCAAAATTGTTTATTAAATTTTCAATTTAATAAAAAAAGCAATTAACTCTAATGAGTTCAATTTATACAACATTCTACATTGCTTTGGCAGTGGACTGTATTTTATTGAATGTGGTAGGTTATATGATTTATGAAATGCAACTCACACTTTTATGCTGCCATATATAAATGTTACTTGGCTTTTAAAGGGCGCCCTCCTCCAAGTCTTTCTTAGATGGTCCTCTCAACTCAAGTGGTTGGCCTCGAGAGAGGTTCATAGCTTAAGCCACTTAATTCTTATCAGATCTCTGTTTTTACAACTCACTACAGGGCGACGTTCGGGTACAAAATCACGTTTTTTTATTCCTTACTCACCTCCATACGTAAATCCTCATCTTTAGTTTCATTTAATCACAAATTATTTCTATATCTCCTCAACTACCAATCTTAAAAATATATGTAAAAATACCTTTTTTGCAATAGTAATGTTACTTTTATATTTTTTTACATTATATTAAATTATTATAAATTAAATGCAATTTATTATGATTAATTATATACCATTTTTCGCTATCTCGCTTAGTTAGTTTCCGAGACATCCGTCCTCAATTATCGCTTCTGTGGAAAAAAAAAATTAACTCATTTTTTTTTACTGTATTTCACTAGCTAACTCTTGACTGCTTTGTTCTGCGATTAAGTCATGGGAATGAAAGTTTTTAACAATTAAGTTTTCTTCAAGAATATATATATATAATTTTCCTAGTTTCTGCAAAGTCTCAGAATTGATATATAAAGTTATAATTTATCTAACTTTTGAACCGTTGAAGATAATCTTGTAAAATTATATATATTCTTGACGAAAATTTAAATTAAAATTAAAAGCTTTTGTTCTCATGACCTAATCGTAGAATGAAGCAGCCAAGAGCTAGTGAAATACAATAAAAAATATGGGGTAAAATATGAGGATAGATATCTCGATAACTAAGCGAGGTAGCGAAAATATGTATAGAATCAATCATATTGCAAATTTTATCAGCTTTAATTTTGTATAAAACGTCTTTGTCGATACCATGGATAGTTTTCCTGATATAAGTGAAACACCGAATAAAGTGACCTTCTAGGGGAACCACCAAGTGACCACCAAGGAGTGGGAACTTTTAGAATGTTTAGTCCAAACTATCTACCAAAGTCAAAAATTGTATCCCTGCCATTTAATGTAATCATTCATTGACTGGACTACTTGCCCATCTCGTCTCACAGTTGGTATCATATGGATAATTATTGTTCTGTTTGTGGCAATAAAAAAATGAAATTGCCTATGTGGAACTACATGAAAATAAGAATCACCCGTAGCTCAGTTTATTTTATAAGAGATAAAAGCATCAAGTATCAACTTATACATACTCTCACTTTATGAAAATAAAGTGCTTAAAGTATTATTAAGTAGGCGATAAAAATAAATTACTCAAAGTTTAGTTTTCTAAAAAAAAAAAAAATCCTAATCAAGTTTGAAAAAATGCTTCCTCCAGAACATTATATTTGCTTTTAAAAGACTGAGCAGACTTTTTTTTTACTCTAATCTTTCAATTTTCAATCATGTATGATAAATTAAATAGTTACAAATTATATATTTACTTCTATTTATAAACATTTTTTTTTTTTTCCTATGCCTAAGTATCGCCTGCTTCGTTAGCCAGCTTGCTCTTGCAGTCCAATACAATTTCGCTTTTCGAGCATAAAAGCTGTCCATTTCATTAAAGCAACATCTTATGTCCTGTAATGCAGGGCATGTATCAAGATGTTCTCCTGTCATTATGTCTAAGGAACATAGAGGGCATGTCGGGCTATCTTTTACACTGATGCGGTGGAGGTGCTTCTGAAGGAAATCGTGGCCTGTGAGCATTCTAAAGCATGCCACGGCTTGCCCTCTAGGGAGGTCTCTAGGAATCCTGCCACTTTCTTCCAGCAATCCACTCCATCGTTTCCCTTCAATTGTTTGTACATATTTCTCTTTCAGTGAACTTTGGAGGGTCTGCTTTATGATTCTTTTTGTTGAATCCATGGCCAGAGGAATATCGGGTTGGATCATTCCAGAACCTATTCTGGCCAGTTTATCAGCTTCATCATTTCCGTGGAGCCCGCAATGGCCTGGTATCCACTGGAAAGCGACTTCTGTCCCATTTTCCTTTAATCGGTTCAAATATTGATGGCATTTAGGAACATTTGGATTTATACTATATCCATTTTTTAGGGACAAAATGGCTGCCTGTGAGTCAACAAAGAAAGCAACTTTCTTGTCTTTCCGTTAGTTAACATCTCAAGGCCTAAGAGAATGGCTTTCACTTCCCCTTCAAAGTTTGTGGCTACCTTTCCGACCGGGGCGGCAAGTTGAAACTCCTTTGAATAAACTCCAGCTCCGGCATGTTTGCGTGCTTCCAGTGCAGAACCATCAGTATATACATGGAGCCATTCTGTCTCTGGAAATCGTTTTCCGATGGTTTCTAGGGTTATAGCCTTTTGTTCGTAAATTGGTGTTGTATCCTTAGAAACATTCTGAAGAAGATCACAGTGAACAACAAATTGGCTGGTGAATGGAACTTGTGTCAATGACGGGAGTGGCTCCCTTTCAGCTAATTCTAGCCCTTTTCTTTGTATCAATTCTTCCACTGCCTTAGTAAAAGTAATTTGAGTTTTAAGACGTTCAGGTGTGGGTTCATAGATACTCCAGTAGTTCATTTTAAGACGTTTTAGCCTTTCATAGAGCGTAATGGCCAGTTGCTCCCGGTGTGTCTCAAGAGGTACTATGCCTGTTTGTAATTCTAGCGCAGATATTGGAGTTGATCTGCTCCCTCCTGTCACGAGTCTAAGGGCTTGATTCTGGATTATGTCGAGCTTGTGTAATATCGCGTCCGAAGCAGTGGTTACAAGTTCTGCTCCATATTCAATAACAGGGCGGACATATGTTTTGTAGGCAAGAGCCATAACATCCCCTGTTGCTCTCCATTTTGAGCCACCTAACCTCTGTATTAACGAAAGTCGTTTTGAAGCCTGTTCTATTTGTTTTTCAATGTGTTTATTCCAAGAGTCTTTTAATAAAAAGAGTCCGAGAGTCTTTTATCCAATTTCACTCCAAGATATATAGCTTCTTCTGTGTGTTTGAGCTCTTCGTTATTATGGTTCAAATTGATCTCGTGTGATTTGGTAGAGAGGATAAAAAATTTGGAATTCTGTTTTTTCGGAATTAACGATCATCTCGTTTTCATTGGCCCACTTCTCTAGTAATTTCAGTACCTGTTGCATGTGCTTTTCTAGCCCTTTAAAGTCACTACTTGTTGCCCACATGACGAGGTCATCTGCGTACAGCAGAACATTTGTACCCGGAATAGTTTCAGTGAGTTCCGTGATATCATCAACCATGATGTTAAACAGGAAGGGACTCAGCACCGAGCCTTGTGGGAGGCCTTGTTTTGTTTGGCGATATGTCGAGACAACGTTTTTATATCGCACCCTTATAAATCTTTGATGTAAGAAAGAAGATATAGTCTTGAGCAGATATCCTGTGACTCCCTTGTCAAAAAGCTTACTCACCAGCTTCTTTCTCCAAACTCTTATCATATGCCGTCTTAAAATCTACAAATATTGCCAGGGTGCTCTGTTTTCTTTGGAAGCCGTTTTTTATATCTTGTGTTAAACGAGCTACTTGTTCAATAGTCTTTCAATTTTTCTTGACGCCAGCTTGTTTAGAAGATATTAGATCATATTTTTCTATGCATTTCTCAAGTCTTTCTGCAACGATTCTCTCGTAGAGCTTGGAGAAAGTACTTGTTAATTCAATGGGTCTGAAATTTTCCGGTATGTCTCCTTTTTTTCCTCTCTTCAAGATTGGTACCACTTCTGCTTTCCTCCATTCACACGGAATATGTTTTCCAGAAATCATTTAAAAATTTTAGTACTGTTTCTTTGGCCATATCCCCCAGGTGTATAAGAAATTCCGACAGTATATCATCTGGGCCTGCGGTTTTACCTTTCTTAGATTTAGTAAGAGCATCATTTAGTTCTTGCGTTTGGATATCTCCCCAGAATAGTGATATAATCTTCTTCACTTACACAACAATGTGTGGAGTTTGTGACTGGATTTCCGTTTTCTTTTTTTGGCTTGTAATTGCTTACTTTTGAATAGTGTTTGCAGAAGGAGTTAGCTATTTCTTTTAGCTTGCTTATTGTTTTCCTATCGAAAGTTATTGGATGGTTTGCTAAGTTTGATTTATTATTTATTTTTGAAAGAAATTCATGTGCCTTAACTCCATCTTTTCTAAAGTCCATTTTCTGTAGGAACGTTCTAAATGAGTTTTGTTTAGCTGAAATAACTTTTCTTTTAAATATAGCTGTTTTCTTTTTAAGTAAACTTATAATTGCATGATTTTTGGAGCTCTCAGCTCTTTTTCTAAAATCATCTCTTTCTTCTTTTAGCTTTTGCAGTTCTTCATTCCAAAAAGGACGATATTTCCGTATCGTTCCTCGGGGAATAGACTTCAGGGCACACCTATATAAATTTCCTTTTATATTAGTATATGTTTTATCTATGTTACCGTTTATGATTAATTTATCAGTGATGAGTTCATCTGTCAATTTTCTGAAAAGCTTCCAGTTTCCTTTCTTTAAATTCCATCGTGGCAGTTGCGGTTCTTTGGTCTTACTTTTATTATTTTGATTCAGGTTCAAGTTAACCACAAGGATATTGTGTCCAAAACCTGCTATAGCTGGTAGTAGGGTATGCTTTATGTTATCAGAGATTGAGGTGTGCGCCAATACAACATACTGCCAGTGAAAGAAAAAAAGGTTGGACGTTTTGTTTCATTTCAAATATATTGTGCAGGGTTTGAGTTAAGGAAATCTTCAAATATTCTGCTTACTGTATCAGTGCTATTATATCCCCATATAGTGGAAGGGGCATTTAGGTCTCCATATAGTATACTCTCTCCATTCCAGTTCCTTTCCAACCATGTGAGGTTCAGTCTGTTTTGAGAAGGGTTGTACATTACGAATATTCGGAAGTGCCGTTTGCCATTCCACAAATTTGCTTCCAGGGCCTCGGATTTATCACTTGCATCTTGCCGTTTTCTAATTTTCATATCCGTAACGATGGATGCCTTAACAGCTAGCATAATACCAGGTGCAACTTGTCTTGCTCTTGGGAGGAAATATGTTTGGTATCCTTGAATTCAGTGCATATCAGGTTTTTCAGTTGCCGCTCCTGCTTCGAGGATCGCACATAAGTCTACATCACTTTCTGTCACTATACGTTTCAATTCGGTGAATTTATCTTTGGTTAAACAGCCTGTATTCCAAAAGATAGCTTTGAGTTGAGCCTTGCCTAAGTCTTTAGAAAGCTTGCGAGCATTTGGCTGTTTTTGATAGGGCCTTGGCATATTTTGCTTTGTATATTGGACTGAATTGGCGATAAATGTGATCGTTTACTTACCGTGTTTACAGGTTATCCAGGGGGCACGTGGACTAACTGTCCGGACGCGATCACTTCACCCTTTAAATAGTTTTTATTTTATTTTATAAAAATAAAACTATCTATTTTATGCTTTTAGAACATATTTATAAACTAATTAGTTATAAACTATACATTTTTAATATTTGTGTCCCCTGACATATTGGTCAGGGAAAACTTTCATTAAATAGGGAAAAGTCAGGGAATTTTACTCTGATAATTTGGTAGCCACCCTGTATTAGTAAGAGAAGCTGGTTGAGGGTTTAGTTTAGAGAGTTAACTTGTTATTTTACTGCTATAATTCACATTGCTTACAAGTAAAAACAGGTAAACAAACCAAAATTTATTTATATATAATTTAGCTATTTTGTAACTATTGATTTTATGCCAGATAAATGTAATTGTAACTGTGCATTTCCTTAATTGTTATATGACTAATTCTTCTAGAATGAAATTCACTTTCTTCTTATATGTTATTCATATTCATAATTAATCTTCCAATAAATAATAAAATTTTAATTATGAATAGTAACATTATTTCAGATTATATTTCATTTAGCCAATAGTACACCAATGATGTTTTTATTTCCAATCTTTATTTTTGAATGTTGACGTTTCGGCTCATCGAGCCATTTTCATGTCTAAAAACAAAATTTTTATATTACAGTTATTTACAATATTTTTTGTTAATTTTTCTTGCATAATTATTTGTAGAATCATTTATATAATTAAAAAACACTCATATATTTTGAAATGCAAAATTTGTACTTACCTATCATGTCCTAGTTAACTGCTTTTCTTATGGAAAAACACAGGTCTTCTTATAACAACTTAGCTGTCATAATCGTCTTACCTATTTGCATCTATTATTTTAATTCATTGTTATAAAATTTATTATATTATGAGATTTGTAAAAATGTTAAAATATCCTTTTATATGTCAGCTCCCATATTATCACTTCAATTCTTACTGAGCGACTAGTCGATAGAGGAGTAGGGAAGGCTTATGAAGATTATTTTTTTTAAACGATTCTTGTTAATTTTAAATTTGTATTGTTTCAATTGTACTAGTATTCAAAGTATTTAAATTATTAACGTCGGTATGATTATTTACTGAATATTTTAAGTTTTTTGTTATGTATAATCGATTCCTTTATTCTACGTTTATTAGTGTTGTTTTCATTATAAATAATGTTAGCGTTTTTAATTAAAATCGAATTTGTTTTGTTTACATAGTATGTTGAGAAAGCCCAGTAGCTAATTTAGTTTTTGTAGTATTAAATTACATGACACTGAAATAAAAGAAAATTATATTAAGAATACTGGAACTGGTACTGGTGGTGGGACTTAGTCCAGCAAGTAGGCATATTGGTCCTTTTTGCCAACCCTAAAGATGATACTACCAATGGTTGTCTATTGTACCTCTACTCTGTCTTAAACCTTTTTGACCTAGGACTTCACCTGGACAAACGTCTAACTTGAATCCTTATACCAGACTGAAACAACAAGAAACCGCTCAACGTTTCCGACTACTTCAGCACTTACTAGACAAACTGTATAAAATTTCCTTATAAAATAAAATGACCTGAATGTTCCATATGTTTCCGATTTGGCCCAATCCAGATACCATATATCGTATATGGTACCATACAGATACCATATGAAATAATAAACTTCAGAACCATCCTAATCCTCTTGTTTCTAACCTTGCTTCCTCCTCGATCCCTGATAACCCTCTTAGGCATCTGAAAAGAAGATGGCCTCATGATCTCATGATTTAGAAACTTTATTAGAGTGCTACCAATGGGTAGATTCTCTACAAGCCTTGTCATGTCATGTATTTATCTGTATCACATTTGCTGAATGTATATTAAATGTACAGTCGTAAATTTCATAAATAATAAAAAAAAAGTTCATAAGATTGGACCATTTTATGGAAGTAGCTTTGCATACTTGGATTCTGTCTGCTCCCAGAAGTCTGTATCTGAATGACATATTAAGAGTAATATTATTCATTTAAAGTATGAATACTAAGGAACATCCTGGAACCAATTTGTGATGATTGAATTTGATTGCTTAGGATAAATATGAATCTATTTAATAAATACAAAAACCTGAATATCTCGGCCAGCTTCAGAATCCAGAGATTGAAGTAGTTAGTCAATTAATGAGAATGGACAAAAACAGGATGCCAAAAATACTTTATGAAGGTACACCAAATGGAAAGAGGATTGGAGGGAGACCCTGCAGCCGCTGCAGAGATAAATTTACTCCAAGACATATGGCAATTAAAGGTGAACAAAGTCCATGTAATGGATAGAGAAAGGTGCAATGCAGAACTTAAAAAGCCTGGGGCTGCTATACACGCCTGTTTTTGCTAAAAAAAAAGAAGAAAAATAAAGTATGAATAAGCATTTTTAATTTTTTATATATTGTTCAAAAAATGGATTACACTGGAAATACTGAATATCTGTATTTGATCTATTTTTAATATAATTACCATATTATTACTAATTGTAAGTGATAATTGTCTATATCATTATTGTTTTTTCTATTTGCCTACAGGTTTTTCAAAATATGATATAATTATTTCACCCTTACTAATAATGAATAATTATTATCCATACCATTTATTGTTGTTTCTATTTGCCTACAGGTTTTGTCAAAATATGATATAATTATTTCACTCTTACTAATAATGAGAAATTATTATCCATGCCATTTATTGTTGTTTCTATTTGCCTACAGGTTTTGTCAAAATATAATATAATCATTTCACTCTTACTAATAATGAGAAATTATTATCCATGCCATTTATTGTTGTTTCTTTTTTCCCTTATGATTTATCTTTTTTTTTTTTAAATATTAAAATAAAATATCCTTTGTTGTAGCTATTCCGATCGTTGAACGAAATACTTATGTAATTGATATGGATTATTCCCCTCTTATTGGTGGATTTTCTATAGTGTTGAATGATGGACGTTCAGCATTTCTTACCGCATATTCTTTGAAGTTTGATCCTAATGTAAGTTCACCAATCTGTTATTGAAAACAAATTCTATGAATTATCTAAATAGTCAATGCTTAAATTAAAAATATGACTTTTTTTAGATTATTTATTTTTTTCAACTTAATGATTTTATTTAAATTTATGCTTCCTATTGAATATACTATTGGTCTATTTACTTTTTCCAAGTTAAAAAAAATTATAGAAGTCAGCTATTTAAGTTGCTATCTTGGAGCCTTTTTTTCAAGGCATAAAAAAATCATGAATTTTCCAAAACTAAATATGAAGTCTGTACATTTCATAATTAACAGATTTTCTAAAAAATTTAAAATAAAAAGTACAGCTAAATAAATTTGAAATGAAAAGTACAGTCCTGTTGGTCAGTATTCTACTATGTGACAATTTTTAGATAGTAAATATTGAATTAATTTTTTTTCTTTGTTGTCATCTTCAATAAAAATATAAAACATGAAAATAAAATTATATTTTGTAAAATTTTAGTATCGATTTTGTTCCAGCAAATGCAAGGAATTTGGGCTCCAAATATTGATGATGGAACGTGCTCATCAGTCAACCATAAATTTAGACTTATCACTTTTGGAAGAAGAAAGTAAATACTTATGAGCTCATATAAAGCAGAATCAAACTGCATTATATTTGATTATACTGATAAGTTGTATTTAAAATAAACATAATTCGTTATAATAATTTATTTATAATACTGTTTTTCATGTAGAAACATGTATAGATATTATATGTATATTTTTTTTTAGCTCTCAGTGTGTAGTTTATAGTGTCGATGAAACAACAGGAGCACTTATTGTTTCCCATAAGCTTGTCATACCTGGGCAGGTTTATCCTGGGCCAATAGGAGCTGTAAGTTGTATGCGGTGGAGTCCTGACGCATGTGCCTTAGCAGTAGCCTGGTCTACCGGTGGTTTATCATTATGGAGTACATTTGGAGCACTTCTTATGTGCTCATTATCTTGGGATTATGGCCTCAATGCAGATTTAGCTCTCAGTAATCCACTAATTATATACGGAATGGTATGCCTACTTTAATCATTACTTTATAAATTATAACAAAAAAAAAAACTTAAAATTCTCAAAATATATTTTTCATACCCACTAATATGGTTAGATTCTTTTAATTTTTACAAATATGATATATACAATTAGCTTCATAACAAAACAAGATTATTTTATTATATATTATTCATGTATGTTATTAATGAAACATAAATTTGTATTCATATTTTTTTTTAACATAGGAATGGTCTGCTGAAGGTTATCAATTGTGGATGATCAAAAGGTCAAGAAATTGCAAATTTATAGAACATTCTCCAGATTCTGTTATTCAATTAAGTTTTGTTAAAAGTGCCTTAACTGTAAATCCATGCATGGTATTTATAATTTGATCTTATTTAAAGTTACATAATTTTATTCCTTTTAATTTATCAGTACTTTTTAAAACTATTTTGCAAACTTTTAGAGTCATCAGAATCATCTCTACCTCCAAGGGGAAGATAAATTGTATATAAACCTTGGTGTTGGATTATCTCAGGTTTTTAATTCTTTGGGAAAGTCAAATTGTGGTAGGGATTCTCCTCTCACCTGTACCTCTGCTCTAGTTGATTCAAAACAATGGATTGTGGTTCAAATTCCGTCGGCATATTCAGCAACTAATTGGCCTATACGGGTAATAAAAGTATTATTTTCTTAAATTTTGTAGTTTTATACAATTAGAATAAACTATGTTGACATTATTCTTCATAAGTTTCATTTTTGATTAGACAATTATTTATATATAAAATAAATCACTAACTATTTTTTAGTTTTAAACATAAGGTGTGAATAAATCCATAAATACTCTAAATAATCTTTCAAAATGTATTATTAATCTATCACAGAACGTTTTGATAATTTGTTTCTTTGGTTGAATAATATAGAATGATCTGCATGATTTCTTTATTGTATTTTTTTTTGGAGGAGCAATAAAATATTTTTCTTGAATTAAACTTTGCATGTATTGGTAAAGTATTTTTCGATTATATTGAATTCTAAGTATTGTTTTAGTACACTGCTATTAATCACAATGGTGATAAATTGGCTGTGGCTGCCCATGCTGGATTGGCTCATTATTCTTTACTAACTCATAAGTGGAAGCTTTTTGGAAATGAAACTCAGGAGAAAGATATGCTTGTTACGGGTGGACTTCTTTGGTGGAATGATTATATTGTTGCAGGATGCTACAATATTCCAAATCAGCAAGATGAATTAAGACTGTATCCAGATAATTTTAGACTTTGCAATTCACACATGACCTCATTGAAACTTAGTTCTCAGGTCTTGCTGCTTGACTGTTTACAAGATAATATTTTAATTTTTTGTGCTGATGGCCATATCACAATTTACAATATGATGGAGAAACATAAAAAAGACTCAGGTAATTAATTATTTTAACAGATTTAATGATTAAATTAGGCAATTATAGTACCCTATCTGCTCTATAAGAAGTACTAATTAAGTATAATTTCATATTTCCTCTCTTTCCCTCCTCCCTCCCTCGTCTTTTATATTTTTCTACTAAATCTAAAATGTTGAATTATCAAATTTTAGGAGTCTTTTCAGCCTTATAGCAAAATATGCTTAATATAAAGATATTTTTCTGGCTGATCTCACCAGGCTGTTATATTGTAGTCTTATCTTATTCTATTGTTTTCTATTGTCTGCTTATAGCTTTGTGGTTCTTAATTTATCCTGCCTGACCATTTAGGTAGAGTTCAGGTTTCCTCAATGGGACTTTGCCAATTATTAGCAGTGACAGCTGGATGGGGAGGGATTACCTTTCAAATCTCTGTATTCTGCTCTCTATGGTCCATGTTAGAGACTGTCTATAACTCATTTCAACAACTTATTTCAAAACAATTTTTTTTTTATATATATATATATATCATTGCATACCTTCATTGTAAGTTTTCCATTAAATTTTCAGAATTTCATTATTCATCAAAGGGAAATGAGAACTTAGTGCACGTTATAATCTGTTTTATCGCAGTAAGTTATTGTGGACTGGATGTATTCAACTTCTTAATTAAAACATTGTGATTATTGACCATCCAAGTGTCTCTCTTATTTACCTCTAAAGTACTGTTGTGTTAATTGCATATCTGAGAATTCTGTTAAATCACCATGATGAAATAAACACTTCCCTTATCCTGTTATGTTATTATTATCGCTTATTCAAGTTCTTGGTTTAACACTATGTGCTATGACCATCTCATGGCATGTCCTAATTTTTAAGATTTAATTTTTTTATATTTACCCTTAATATGAGCAAATGGCAAACGTTTATTATGATTTTTTTTTTTTTTTTTTTTAAGGAGAAAATGTTGAACTGACTTGTATTCAAGCTATTGATATGTCAGCTTTATGTGTCCATCCAGCTTGCTTTGTTGCTCTTACTTTAACATCACTAAGAATTGAGCCATCACGGATGAACCATTCCCAAAGAAATAATTTTGTTATAAATGTTTCTGGACGTCTACTAATGGTTAACCAGCAGGATGATCATGTTGTAAGCCTATTTTTTAATTTTATCTTTTAGTTGATCAACATTCTCTATCCTTTAACTGTCCTATGTAAACTGGAAGCTAGAATTATTATATTACAATATATTCTAATGAAACAGAAGTTTATTATTTAAACTGTTTTTTTTTTCTTTCTTTAAGAAACTGACTATGGGTTTATTCCTCTAGAAGAAAAGTATTTTGAATTAATGTACTGAAGTTAACTTGTTCCATTAAAATTCATACATTTATTATTTAATGACAAGTCCTGACTGTCTGCATTTCTAATGTCCCCCACTGGCTTTCAATACCAGTATAAAGTGGGTTAGGTCAGTGATTAAATCACTGTGTTCCTATGCACAGGGTCAGGGATCGAGTCTGTCTGCACCAGGTAATCATTTATTCTGTTGCATGAGGCATGGATCAAACCTCAGGTTGGGAGACCCTCATACACAGCCTCTATAAAGTGGGTACTCTTAATTAAGTAATTACTTAAGGAGAAAAACCTGACGGTTAAGCATGGTCTCTGTCAAATCACCTCCTTGCTCAGCTTTTCTTTTCGCAAGAAACAGTACTTCTTTACAAAGTATTTGACCTAAGATCCTGGGTCATTGTGGTGAAGGTTGTTTTCAAGACCAATAATAGGGCTGAAGGAGGGTCCCAGGATTTTTCTATGTATACATAGCAATGAAATTGTTTAGATGATTTATTTAATAATAATTTAACTTAAATTTTCTCTATTTTAATTATTTACTTATTTTTCTATTATTTGATTTATTTAATCATATTATTTTGTATGTGTTTATTTCATTCTTTGTTATCATTATTTTTTAGACATTTTCATTTAGTTTTTACAAACTAATTTTTATGAACTTATGTACAAGTTAAAAATTTCGTTTTCATTTTGAGCTGACATCAGATTGTGTCCTTGTTTTCAAGTTTTTTGTTTTTATACTATTTCTTTTTTTAGGGATCCAATTTTTCATTTCCCATCCCAAGCTAGCATCTTTGACCTGACTTATCTTTTAACAGCTTTCTTGAGAAACCATTTGTGACAGAGATATTTTCATTTTTCAATTTTCTTTATTTCTTTTATGTGGAACTTAATCCATTTTCTCTTTAATTAGTTTTTAGTTGTTATCTTTCTTGTTACATCTTGGTGTATCAGTTTTCTTAGTGAAGTCACTTTCTTTTTAATTTTGTTTCGGTGGATAGAATCTATCCATGTTGTTAGATATATTTGCATTTATGTATTTTTGATTCTATAAACTAGGACCATTTTTAAAAGTATTTTTTGATTGGACATATTTTTCTTATATCTCAATCTTCTATATCCATTTGATCCATCACAGTCTTTTGACTCTATCACATACAGATTTACATCTATTGTATAAATATCATACTTCATAGTCTATAACCTTTAAAAAGTTAATTGTATTAAATACAAAATAAATTCCCTTAACTCCTACATCAGTAAGTCTACACCAATGGAAAGACTATTATTCTTATTACTACCTTATTATTCTTGAATCTTTCATGCTTATTTAATGTATTCTATTATACTGTTTATGAAATAATTTCTTGTTAATGCTCAAAATAATTTAAGTATATCTTATCTTTATTTTTGAAGAATTTCAAATTCAAGGATCAATAAGATTCTTGGATGACAGAAAAAGACACTAATGGTAGATCCCCTTAATAAGATTTGAAATGAACAATCAGGATCCAGACCTCAAGATACAGGCAAAGAAAGAGAACATCTATATTGATATTATATTAGATTGATTAACTTCTATAGTTACTGTTCTGTTCCTATGGGTCATAGTTGGATGAAATTAAGCCTAATATCAAGCTTTTCCCAAGAAACAGTACATCTAGTGCAAAAAGAAGTTTTCAAATTTGACTGGTAGTTTTTAAAATTAGCTTGTTAAAATAAACAAACTCTTTAGTTTTATGTATCATAAAAAAAAAGTAAAGTGAAGTAAAAAAAATTGAAATTATAACGGTGGAGATATATCATAGTTCATAGTATATCAAGTTGACTATATATCAAATTGGAGTAGAAGTTGTTGAAGTGCAATCAAAGGTGATTGTACACAAAAAGTTTTATTTTCTTTGTGTCAATGTTTCATTTCATTTTTATATTTTAATCAGTATTCTAGGTTTATTTTATTTCTACTGACCATATTATTTCATATTATAATATTAACTTAATAATACTATTTATGTTATTTTAATACATATACTTGTGATATATGTTACTTCTTACCATTACTTTGCTACTGTTTACCTTAGAACCCCATACAAATAGAGTCTATCTTTGTATTATAGTCATCATTACACTTATAGTATTACATTTTTTTAAAAATTGTTTATACTGCATTATATATGTATAATGGATTATAATTATACTGCATTATATATAGACTTTGAAGCTTGACAATGTTGGATTGAGGGCCTCCATGCAAGAGATAGCAAAACGAGGAAGATAGAGAAAAAGAAAAAAATACTACATTGTAAATATTAAAACAATCTTAACATTAACTGACAGTTCATAGTTGGCCATAAATCAAGAGAGAGAGAGAGAGAGAGAGAGAGAGAGAGAGAGAGAGAGAGAGAGAGAGAGAGAGAGAGAGAGAGAGAGAGAGAGAAATACTTTATTGAAAGTAATGCTGCCCTACTACATAGGGTTGCTTTTTGCTCAGCATACTGATCAATCCATGTGGACATAGCTTATACATTACATTATTCCATCATTATAGAAACATATCACTTTTTGTTCCCTCCCTTTTCATAACACTAGTAATATACACTAACATACCATATCAAAGGATTATCACTATAACACATACATTTCCTAAAAAAAAAAAAATTAAAAGAAAGTATTCGAATGCTAGAAATACAAGACTAAATCGCACACACATATATCAACGCAATTAAATTAAAATTGAAAAAATAAATAAATAAATGCCAATTATTAACATTGATATAAAATCTAAAATTGTCAACCGAACATTCCAACAACAATAAATACATAATGTTCTCTAAATATTAGTATTAAACCATGTTTAAAAGATAAATTAAAATATTGCTCTAATAACATATTTATCACTTGAACTATTGCCAATGTATAGCATTTATATTAATATTTAAAATTGATGTTTTATGTATGTTATCATATTTATTTACTCTTAAATTAAAAGACATAGTAGCCAAGCACTTTAGGACAAGTCCCAGAGTTAGGAACTCACCTGGGTAATTAATATTTATTTATCAGAAGCCCAAGAAAATAAATCTTAATAAATGTACAGAACAGTCTCTATAGTCCGAACACCTAGTAATCCAAAAGCCCTGGTAATCCAAACATGAAAACAAACAGTTGAAGTTGACTGACGAGAGATGGAATGGAAATGGCTCTGTTTCTCACTACAAATTACTGGAATTTTTTCATGTGGTAGTGTTGAAACCGTATTGTGGTATCTCTAAATGGAAATAATTAAAATTAGGTGGTCATCCAAGAATTGAGGAATATCTTTATATATGGTTATTACAGTAGAGATCACCAGGATATATTGTCCGATTTCTGAGGATATATATCTGAAAAGTTATAATTTTCTTTAATAATTTTTTTAAGAAGGAGAACTAAGCAGATTTTAATGGCATTATGCTTGATAATTTCAAAAGCAGAAATACCTTTTTCTAATTTCACTGTACAATTTCTTTGCGCCTATTTCATTTTTTATCATAGACAAGTCCTAGAAATGCCATAAAGGCACTTAATACTTGATTGGAGAGTGGGCGAATGGATTCAGCGTGGAATACCAAAGCCTGATACCTTTAAGGAATTTGCAAGATCAAGCTTTTCTTTAGCCAGAGACTCAACATAAATTATTTGATCATTTTCAGAAATAATTTTTTAGTTATCAATGTGCTTATGTTTAATCAATATTATATATATTTCCGTTACCTTGTGTAATTTTAAATTTAAATTAATTTTAAATTTTACCTTTGATAATCCAAACAGGCCATGCAATCTACATGGTCGGATTATCAATATCCTGATTATCCTGTACTTTGGTTAGTACATGGGGGTAACCTCTAGGTAGCCATCGGGGTCATTATTTGCAAAAATAACCACAAGGTCTGTTTGCTGAACTAGTTCCTCCCTCCAGTGCCAATACCCAGAAATGAATGGATAATCATTTAAAATTATGTTTTTTTATAATGAAACAACTTGTGAATAATCTTTGTATTTATTTATAGCAATCACAGATATTACAAGCTCCTACTGTTTTGGCATCATGTGTTGAAAATGTCTGGTCTCCTATGAACTTTTGTAAGAATAAACCACACCTGACTGAAGCATTATGGTTGTATTGTGGAGCTCATGGAATGAGAGTTTGGTTACCATTATTTCCTAGACATGGGGATAATGCTCATACATTTATGTCAAAAAGAATTATGCTTCCATTTCAGTTGAAAATATATCCATTAGGTTTGTAGCTTAGTTTATATTGCTAAAGTTATCTATATATTTCTAAATCTATTTAACATTATGCATTTTTTGTAGCCATTTTATTTGAAGATGCAATCCTACTGGGAGCTGAAAATGATACACTTTTGTATACTTCTGATGCAAATTCCCCATTTTCTCTTCCATTTTGTGTTCTTGAAAGAACGGTAAGTTGTACAGTCTTTATGTCTTTTGTAATATATCATATGTGATCACAATCACTTTTGGTACTTTCGTTTGAAATCTCAGTAGAAAAGCTTGCTTTATTTCTACTTAAACTGCCTAGGTTTTATGTGAAGTGGTTGATGTTCAAAACAAAGGCTAATTTATCCCTTTTAAATGGATTTGATTTTTCAAGTTCTTAAATTTTTCTAAAATCAATTTCTTCTTTGAAAAATGTATTTCAAAAACTTTTATTATATCTTTGGAAAACCAATAAATGTGTATGGTTGCTCTTTAATTTCTTTAGGAATATGTAATAATCCTTAGATTTGCTCATACCAACTGACTAGAAAGAATTAATTTCCCTCTTAATATATTTTCTTTACTTTGTCTATTTCACTCTAACTTCTTTATTCCTAAAAGTTCTTATTAAGACAGATTAATGTGTTTCTCAATTAGCAATTATTTCTGGATTCCCTGAAGTTGCATGGCAGCAGGAAAACCTAGATTGTTGTTTCCCAATCAACCAATTTTTTTCCTGAAGAAAGTGGCAAAAAAATTACAAAAAAAATTAAGCTTATTTTATGAAAAATTTCTCAGTAAAGTAGTTGCGATTAAGCAGAGTAGATTGTTTCTACAGGGGGAAGGGATTACAAAATGTGTTGGATTATTATAAATTAATAATTGAAAAATTAACATTTACGTTATCAAAACACTATTTATGAATTAACAATTGAAATAGAAACATAAAATGATTAGATCCTGTCATTTGTGCACAATATAGACTACAAACTTAACACAATTCACCGAAGTGTTAACTGATTTTTCACTAATCGAGATATGTTCAAACTGCCATTATATGTCAAATTGTGAGAATATTTAGGTTTTCCAAAATTAGGAAAAATGATAAACTTAAACTTAAGCTAGAATGACATAAAAATATCTGTGACCCCTTACCGAGAGTTATAGTGTTTTGTGGGTCCTGTCTTCATGTTAGAACTATTAAACTAAGAACTTTACCCATTATAGCTACAGCATTGGGGGTTTTAAAAATGTGGTTTTGCTTAATCGGTTTTCAATGGTATACCCACTTTGCAAAGCTGGTCTGTTCTTTAAAAGATATCAAGTTTGGGAGGTCAAAATGCATTAGATATTTATAGCAATATGAACTAAAAAAAAAAAGTACTACTACAACTCATGAAGGGTCAGTACTATGTTGGAAAGTATTGTTTCTTGGTCAATGATTGTGCAAGGAGGTGATTTGACCAGGATTACACTCACCCACCAGGTTTTCCTCCTGAATTAGTTCATTAATGAAGTATCCACTTTATAAAGGCTGTTCCTCAGAACAGTCTCTGGTCCCCAGGGTTCCTTCACGGTCAATGGAACAGAATAAGCAATTTATTTGCCATCAGCCAGATTCAAGCCCAGATCCTTGAACATTGGAAGTCAGTGTCCAACCCACTGAGCTACCCCGTTCCCTAAAATGAACTTAAAAGGACCAGAAATTCATTAGTTTGTTGTTAAAAAATTACTTATATCTGAATAATAACAAAAATAAGTAGATTTATTCTGTAGATTATCTTTATTATTTTTTAAATAAAAATCCAATATGAATAACAATATGTTTTATTAAAACTTTCATTGGTCTCATATGTATCAATCTTTTTTTCATAATGGTCAATAATGTAAACTTTTGAATTGAGTGCTTCTCTGTGATGCTGTTTTCATTTTATTTATTTTTCGAGCTAGTGAAATGCTTATCTTTTTTTGGAGGCTTAAACATGAGTATTGTGCAGCATCAGTTTTCTGTTAATAGACAGTTGGGTAGTAGGTATTCAAATTCTCTGACTCATCATACCAGATAAAAAATATTAGATACTTTATAACATTAATAATATCTCTTCAAATCAAGACTAGTTTTGCATAGATGGGTATACCGTTGGAGAGCTTATTAAATAAGTTTATGAAATCCCCAAGTTTGTAGCTTGAAATTTATTGTGTATTTCTAAAATTTATTTATTTTTACTTGTTCACTTTGTTTTGACTGCTATGATTGCCTTGTGAATAAACATTTTCCTACAAATCGGATGAAATTCATTCTAGATTCAAAAAATTGGGACAAAAGTCGCATTAGAGTAATTTGGATTTTAATTTTTAAAAAACACACATAATTTTATTAGAAAACTTTAAATATATCATATCTTGACAACTTATTGACATAAGAAAGTGAAGTTGGTGGCACTGAACATTTTTGATATATTCTTTCTCCCTTAGTTACTGATATTTCTCCCTGTATGTCTGTGTGTGATCAATCTTTGTATAATTATTTAAAATTAAATTAAATTTTTAATGATAAGTCACTTATATGAATGCATTTTTCATTTCTTCATTGTTATTTTTAAAAACTTAATTTTGTAGAGTCAAGTTTATTTACATCATATTTTACGTCAGTTGATAAGACGTAATTTGGGTTTTCATGCTTGGGAAATAGCTCGATGTTGTACCTCACTTCCATATTTTCCTCATTCTTTGGAATTATTACTGCATGAGGTAAGATATTTTCAACAATAAGATTAATAATTTAATAAAGAATTTTGTTTTATGTTTATTAGGTCATATTTTTTTTCTAGTTTTGTTTTTATATATTTTTTTTGTAGAGGTGTTAAATTGAATTATCTTTTTTTTTTTTCCAACTTTGAAACTTGGGGGAAAACATATTTCAGGCATATTTTTGGATTGTTTGTATTTTAATCAATTTTTATTCTATTTATTGTTTGATCTCATTATTTTTTGAGGTTTTAGAGGAAGAAGCCACCAGCAAAGATCCCATTCCAGATGCTCAGCTTCCAAGTGTCATAGAATTTATTCAAGAATTTCCTGTATATCTGGATACTGTTGTGCAATGTGCTCGTAAAACAGAAATAGCCCTGTGGCCATATCTTTTTTCAGTTGCAGGAAAACCAACTCAATTATTCCAGAAATGTTTAGTTGCCAACCAGCTTGAAACTGCAGCATCATATTTAATTATATTACAGGTTTGTACCAATTCATGATATTTTTTTTTCTTTTCAAGTTTATTTATTATCAGCCAATTTTACACCAATTTTTAATTTTGTCAACTTAATGACTACACATCTCAATTACAACATTTCGGCTCGTCGAGCCATTTTCAAGTCTAAATACCTATCATGTCTCATTTCTAGTCAATGACTGATGGTAGGTACATGATAGGTATTTAGACTTGAAAATGGCTCTACGAGCCGAAATGTTGTAATTGAGATGTGTAGTCATTAAGTTGACAAAATTAAAAATTTGTGTAAAATTGGCTGATAATAAATAAACTTGAAAATAAATAGTATGCACCGAAGAAGAAGTGAGAAATATTGTTGAATCATTATATTTTATTATCTAATTTAAAAATATTTTTGCAAATATTTATTTGATTTTGTTTTGTTTTAGAATTTAGAGTCATCGTCTGTTAGTCGTCAGTATGCTACTATGCTTCTTGATTCAACATTAAACAGTTCTAAATGGGAACTTTCAAAGGATCTAGTTAGATTTCTTAAAGCAATCGGTAAGTTACTGCAGAAAAATTGCTTTATAATAATGTATGTATTTTCCTGTAAGTTGCAGGAAGTAAAAAAGTATAAACTCAAGGAAAAAACTATTTCAATTAGTTTAAGTCATTTATTTTGGAATCTGAGTAACAAAAAATATTATTTAATGTATACTATAAATGGTTAGTTACAATTTTAATAAACAATTTAATCATATGGCAAGAATTAGCTACAATTGGGACAAAAGAACTAAACAAATCTCTGAAAAAGTATAAACTCAAAAATTATCTGCTTCTTTAATGTGTAAATTCATTTCAATAATGACAACTTCTGCCATGTTTTTTTTGTATCAACTCCATCAATCTTTTAGGTGGGAACACTTTTTACTAAATTGATTAAAGTGCTCTCTGGTATATCTTCCCAAGATTGTGTGGTCCTTTCTTTGAGCTCATCAATATTTTGGACTTCTGGCTTCTGAAGGATGTAGACTTGTCTAGCCATGATTCCCCATAAATTTTCAATTGGGCTGAGACCCGGAATAAAAGTTGGCCAATCCCAAACTTTGATCCCGAAATCCTGAAGCCATTGTTTTGTAGATGGTGCTGTATGAATCGGTGCATTATCCTGCTAAAAAAATTTTTTTTCTTCCAACATTTTAATAAATTTGATAACTGACAGCATTCATTTTGCCGGAAATTAATGCAATTTGAGACTTTTCCGTTTCTTTAGATGCAGCCCATACCATTAATCTGCCACCCCAATGCAACCTTCGTGAATATGTTTCTTTTCTAAGGTCATGCCAGTAGTAATTAAAACCATTTGCACCATCAATGTTAAATTTTTTTTCATCTCTGAAAATAATGCTTGACCATTTTTTGCTATCTTGAGTATGTCTTTCAGTAAACTGCAGTCCTTGCTGCTAATGTTGTTTTTTTGAGTTGTGTTTTTTCACAATTTAAAAAGTATTTGACTACTCCCTGTGAGCAATTTAGCTCATGAGTAATTTGCCTCTGGATCATCCCACCTCTTTTTAGGTCCATTATTCTTTGCTGCTCAATTTCAGTGACTTGAATTCCATGGAGCATTATTAAAAAAAAAAGACTAATTCATACAAAGCGATACATTATAAAAAACGAAACAATATACTATTTCTTTAACAGTAGGAAGAAAGCTGAGGTGGTATTAATTCATTAATACATCTGACAGTTAAAAACAAACATTGAGTTTATATCCACAGCATAAATAAGTTTTTTTTTTTCAAAATCTGATGTTCGTAAATTATCAAACTGATCAATGGGCACTTGAAGCTTTCTACCACTCTAATAATATAAATGTAAGTATAAAAACATTATTGTGCTATGAATTTACTTTTAAATTTTATAAATTCTTTAATTTTATAAGTTGAGTTTATATTTTTTCACAGGAGTATATATATTTATAAACAATAAAAGGAGTAGATATGGAATGGAATTCATAAAAAAATGTATTTATCATAAGTTTTTTAAATGAAGATATCACTTCTGTTAATTTATATAATTATTTTATCATTGTCTAAATAGTTTCTATTAATCTCACAACATTCTTTTAATCTTAAGCAAATCGGATGGTGCATGGCTTTAAAAATTGATGGCATTTCTTTTGATTAAGTAACTATTCCCATAAGAAATAATCAATAGGACTCATGTTGGAAATGTGTGGTGGCCAGATAATATCACCTCTTCATGAAATCAACTTATTATAAAACAATTGCTTTACTGCTCCAATTGAAGGATCTGGTGTATGGCAAATTCCCCATCATCTTGCCGGAACTGTTTTTGAATTGAAGCCACAAAATTGTTAGGAAGATGAAATAAAGAAATTTTATGAATTTTGAAATAAATTATTTTAACTAAAATATTGTCAGATACATTCAATTATATCATTGAGTCTGACAGGATGTGAATAACAATCAGTTTGAATTTTAATGGTTGATCCTGCTCATACAAACATGTTTACCCATTTTCGAATGTTTTATTCACATAGAGTTTGAAAATGAGCATGATACAAACGTTCAAGCTTTAATGTTATTCATGGTTTTGCTAATTTACTTGGAGAAAAAAAGTGTGTGATTAACCAGCAAATGGTTTTGGAAATGTACAACTATGCTCATGAGGCTGATAGTTGACAAAAACAAAATTAAACTTATGTCTGATTTTTTTTTTTCAGATCCCAATGATGTCGAATGTTCTCGTGTTCCAATAGTTGTACCATCAAAAATTCCTCATACACCTCCTGTTAATGGCAATGAAGAAGATCTATCTTTGGTTCTTGGCACAATGCATGTGAGTATATTTATTATTTAACCTGTAAAATTCAATTTTCATTATGTATAATACATTAATATGAAGTAAAAGTTGATTAGGTAGGTTTATTTCCATTAAACTGTGAAAATATTTTCGTAGTTTTTCAGAACATACTTTCATTAGAATTTATGATAGTGATTCGTCTTTGAGAATTTAAACATTTGATGTTGATGTGACCAAAAAAACGTTGCCTCCATCCCTACCTCCACCTAAACCTATCATCATTCAAATCAGTTATGTTATCTATGTCTAAATGCTCCCCTTGGTTATCTTTTGATCTTTTTGGTATATATTACCTTGTTAACTATTCAGGCCTATAGCTTTATTTGCCCATTTCAATTGCCAAGATGTTTTAACATTAAAGACCTGTAGTTTTTTCACATCTCCATATTCCATTCAACTCATACTTTAAACCAAATAATTTAGAAAGTACTCTTTTTGAAAAAAAAACTTAATGAATTCTATTTCTTTCAATATAAATAGTTAAGATTATCATCCACAGAGAAAATTATACCTTGGCAGTAAATTAAAGGCTGTCCCCATTCCTCCACTCTTTCAGTTTATTCCTCCGACTAATCATCAGCTTGACCATTAATTAGTGGTCAAGGTCTATATGTATGAAGCTCTCCTTCAGGTTTTCAAACTGTAGTTTGAAACCTTATAGTTAAACTATTCTTTGATTTTCTTTTGAATTCTGATTCTGTTACCTATTTAGTATCCCTGTTACTTATCATATTGTCTTATAGTATTTTTAGGTATTACACCTAGTGATCATAAGTTCTAATTGTTATAATGTAATTAACATTAGTTTAATCTCTGCTCTAAAGAAAAACCTTATAAAATTTGAATAAAATGGTTGAAAGATAAAAAAAATATTGCGGTTTGGTTTTCCTATTTACCCATTGTTTTTAATGTATTACCTATTTCTAGAAATCTCTCATTATGGGTAAATTAAGGCCAACACATTTGCTTGATGCGTTCCAACTCAGTGGCAAATTTAAAATAACAAAAATAAAAAAAAAAAAAATGGGTAAACTATGCTATTATAAAGCCAACTCTGATATACGCCTGCAAAACCTGAACACTAACCAGCACCCTGTAAAGAAGTAATGAAAGATTTTAGAGGAAAATCCTCTGTAAGATAACCGAAGATCAGAGTGCGAGATATGAATCAGATAGGAGATAGGATCAGATGGAGGAGAAGGACCAATAAAATACTGCTTATAGATATTAATCAATGAATATCTCATGATATGAACACAAGGAGGTTAAGATAGGCAGGGCTTGTGGGCAGGGTGGCCGAATGGGCTAATGCGTGTGCACTGCACCGCCGTTGCCTGGCAACCTGATACATAAGACTTTGATAAAAAAAAAAAAAATTACGAGTTTGCGTCCTGGTGCCCGGAGGAATTTTTAAAATCCACGGCCACACTCCCTGGCCCGAGAAAACCCCTGTATAGCCTTAAAGGCGAGGAAGGGGAGAAAAAAAAAAAAAGCCTCTATAATGCAATGAATGCCTCAATAGTAGCTTATTTATTTATTTATTAAAGCTGTTGTGATTTTTAAGATGAGACATTGTATTCTCAATTGATCAACATGAATCAAGGTTTTCACCTATCATATTTTCATTGTTATAAAGGAAGCAGTCTGAAGAATCTGCGGTCTTCTAAACGAAGTTTTCTTTTTTTAAGTCACTTGGATTGAAAACAATAATTAATATATAATCCATAACTTTTTTTAGGTTGCTCGAGGACGCAGTTTTAGTACCACAACAACACCTAAAATACAGAATGTTGAGAAAACTTCCAGAACATCTGTTGCTGATTTAAATATCCTCAAAAGAAAGAAATCTGTACCTGCTGTGAAATCTGACAGTGTGTAAGTTTGTTTTTATATTTAAAATTTTTATTTACTGTTAATTGAACTTAGATGTTTATTTTTCATAGTGTTATTGACTGCTCAACATTTCTGCAAAACAAACTTTTCTCCCTTCCATTAAGTAATAAATATGGTGCAGTGCACGCATCACACAACTTTCGCTTACCACCCTCTTTTTAGCAGAAATAAGTATTTTCAGACAAAGTACCCTTATATATATACAAATTTTAATATTTATATCGCTGTAATCTATACAATTAAATATTAAATAATTCCAACAATAGCATTTATGAAAACCGTATATGTATATTTACATAATATTGTCGGAGTCCTTATTATATTAAGCTCATGTTAGGTATGAAAGGGTGTTCTAATCTTTCGGGCGAGCTTGGGTGCTCTCGTATTCCTTTGGTTCCTCAATTACAACCATTCTCTGTTAACGATCTCTTATTTCTCCTTTAGTTAATTATCAAATTCTTTCATATTTTATATTTAACTGTCTTTTATATTAGAAAAGAATGTCAAATGGTCAATTGTTTCAAATAAAAAAAATTAAAGCAGGTGAAGCTAATATTGAAAATTAGCCATTTATCCCTGTTAGAGAACTTCAATAAGAATAAAATCTAAATTTTATTTAAAACTGCTTAATTTTATACTGATATAATGAATTTAATCAAAATCGTTTAAGCTGTTATTGAGAAAATCCTAAAAATGTGTTTAGTCCATGATATAACATGCCACTTAAGGTAAGCCGATTTTGGCAAAAAAGTTGCTGTAACATCTAAAAACATGTAAAAACCTAAAATATACAATTTCACTTTTGTACTACTGTTCATTTTTGAGCTAGACTGTTAACACGCACAGACCATTTTGCGAGATTTGGTTATTTCAACTCAGGGAACCTCAAAACATGTTAAAAACTCAGATTAGAAAAATTTCACGATTACAATACTTTCCTTTTCCCTATAAATTTCATATATAGGTAAGTGAAAGTATAAAGGAATGTTTTTATACACATTTTGAGGTACCCTGAGTCCAAATAACCAAGTCCCGCAAAATGGTCTGTGTGTCTGCCTGTCTGTATGTCTGTATGTTAGCATTCTAACTCAAAAATGAAATGTCGTATGAAACTGATATTACGTATTTAAAATAGGTATGTGCCTTAGATGTGACTGCAACTTTTTCCTTGAAATCGGCTAACCGGAAGTGCCACTTTATATCAATGGTGAAACACATTTTTCTCAAAAATGGCTCTAACGATTTTAATTAAACTTGGTGTATCATTGTTTAAGTAAGTGGTCTTTAATATCAAGTCTTATCCCCATCGATGTCACTTTACAGGGCTTAAATGCCCAATGTTCATTTACGTCTTCCTCTAAAGTACCTTTTATATAGTTTATTTTAAATAATTAACTATCTCACATTATTACGAGTTACGAAAAAATGCTAAATATAAGTTTTGAAAGAATTTGATAATTGAATAAAGGAGAAAAAAATAAAAATGCTTATTCACGTCGAAAATGAATCTCCAGAAATACTAGTCAGAAGGTATACGTATAATATATCGTTGGAAAGCAGAGAATTTTAGAAAAACAATATCTAATATAGAAAATTGTAGAAGGTAACGAAGAGTGGCGAAAAAATTATAAATAAAATTTTGGAAAGCTAATATTATTTAATGTAAATCTCATGTTTTCAAAGACATTAAATGAAGTTTACAAACTAAGTGTAAATTTTTAAATTCTTGAAGAAAGTTAGTCGACTGATCTACATATCATGAGTGATAAATATTCAGGATGTAGTCTTTTTTAAAATTTTTTATTTTTGCCAACGTTTCAACCCAAACATGTGGGTCATCTTCAGGGCATGGTTTGAGCACTGAGGGTGTTCAAGTACTCGAAGTACGTAAATTTTATAATATTTTTAAGTTTGAAAAAAGTATTTAAAATCCACCTTATCAAGGCAATGACATTGTTAAAAAAACTATTTCATTGTAATTTTGTGAAAAAAGAAGTGAAATTTAAAATCATTTTATGAATGTATAAGGTTATCATGCATGTGTTCATAACCTGAAATACATTTACTGTAGTTTAATTATTCTAGATCTGATATTATATTTAAATAATTAGGTATCTATCATCCATTTATTCCGAAAAATCATCATGTAACCTTTAAGAAAATCAAATTTGTGAATAATTTGATGAATTTTTCCTTTGTGAAATCCCAACATTATAATGTCTTTCTCTAAAGTTCCTTTAATTTGGTTTATTATAAATAATAACTATTTCTCATTGTTAGGAGTTATGAAAAATGCTAAATATAACTTTTGAAAGAATTTGATAACTGAATAAAAGAGAAAAAAAGAAAAATACATATCCTGACAAAAAATGAATATCCGGTAATTATAGTCAGAAGGTATACGTATAATATATAGTTGGAAAGTGGAGAATTAAAAAAAACAACACAATATCTAATATAGAAAGTTGTAGAAGGTAATGGAGAGGAGTGTTGCACAAAATCAGTCTTGGTCTTGCACTTTGCAAGACCAAGACTATGACCACCTTCCTATTGCAAGACCAAGACCAAGATTGGTAACAAAAATCGATTTTGTCGAAATCGATTAACAAATTTGAATAAGGCAAAATAGTTACTAATACTTGAAAATTTTGGTTACTATATGTAAAGAATCGGAATAACCAATATACTTTTGCATTTAACTCTTCTAATTTTTTATTCAGGCTAATTAGGATCTACTATCTAAAAAATTACAGCATCGTGTCAATAGTAATAAGCTAATAGGTAACTACAAGACTGTTGCGAGACCTGTGCAAGATCAAGACCAAGTCCATTTATTCTGAAAAATCATCATGTAACCTTTTAGAAAATTAAATTTGTGAATAATTTGATGACTTTTCCCTTTATGATACTCCAACAGTTTCTACTTACAATCAGTGTGACAAATTTTGACCTGTCAGACAATGCAAATCTCTTAATTCCATTTTAGTAAACTTTGCAATGGAAAGTAATAGTTTAATAACTATTTAAATAATTAAAAAGCCGTACAATCCATTATTAACAGATCGTACAATCCATAATCAACAAATTGTACAATCCATGATCAATGGATCATACAATCCATAATCAACCGGTGATATAATAAATATGACTTCCGTTATTTTAGTGATATTTATGATTTTTAGCTTTAGCTTGGTTAAAAATGCAATTCAAAAAATTTATAATAGCCTAACATGGCCAGAAAATAATTTCTATTCAAAGTTGAACGGTAAGTGAAAGTTGTGTGTTGCGTGCACCAAATTTTTTAATAATGAATCTATATAGATTTCTTGCTATCCTTACATAAATTTAAAAAAAAAATATTTGTATATATTGTATTAAATGGCCAACTAAATGTTTTAATCTTAACATTTAATGTTTCATGAAAACAAAAATCAAGCAATTGTAGGGTATTATTTTATTTTGTACAGAAATATTAATTTACAATAATGAGGTATTACTATTTCAAATTAAATTGTTAAAACTTTGTGGATTTTTTACAATTATTTTTAAATGGTGTTTTTCTGTCTACTTTTAGGGATAGTACTAAGTCGGCTGAAGAATTTTTCATGGATGTTATGATAGAAAGACATGCCCGTCGATTGCTTAGTCAACATAGATTACATGATTTAGGGTGTATGGCTGCTAATTTAGACTTCCCACTAGTCAGATGGCTGGCCAGAGAACGTAGTAGAGCTGCAATAATTGATCACTGTGTGTCAGCCCTTAAAAACTTACACGCTGATTTTGCTTGGCCTTTTCCATCATTTAACAGTGGTAATCCTTCCGACACAGGTCCTGAAACAGGTTAGTATTAACCAGTTTAATTTAAACCATATATTTAATAATATTTATACACATATTTATTTAGAAGCCTACAAACACTTACCTCTCTGCATATGTTGAAAATTTACTGATTTTTCCTCTAGACTAAATCTCCCTCTTAACTTTCCACTTTATTGTTAAAAACATATCTACGTTCAGAGCTATTTAATCATATATTGAACTTTTGTATTCTATAAAAGCATCAAATTTCTTATTTATTTAATCCCTACAATATGGCATTTATCATAAAATTTTCATCCCTCATTATTTCAAGTATAAAATTATTCATAATGGTTTTGATATCTTATCCATTGTAGGCTGCTCAGTGGAGAATTTACTTAACAATTAAGGGTACAATTACAGTTGTAAAAACCTACTAGTGTGAAATCTTATCCAATCAATCGCACTCCTCAATATTCCTCCGAAGTCACTATCATTGTTATTACTTGATATAGTTGGTTAAATACTGTTGTAAATTTCAATATTAAAATGGGAAACTAGTAAACTTTTATTTGTTTAATTGATTTACCTCTAAACTGTAAGGCACAAAAGGAGGAAGAGAAAGAAGAAGATATTTAATTCATTTAGTTATAATTTGCGAATTTCATAAATATTCAAACATTAGCAATGTATGATTTGTTCCACAAATTTTATTATCATCAATAATTAAAAAGAAAACAAATTAAGTTGTAAACATCATTAAAATAGGAATAGGAGAATTTAAAATCTGGATAAGAAGGGGATATGCCAGATTTTAAGAGGGAAATAATTCCAAAAAGTGGTGGATTGGGTGATGAAAAAGTGTTGAAATGAACACAGGTATATGAGAAGGGGTATAAAAGATCAGAAGGTCCAGATCTTGTGATACTAGGAATGGATAGGAGATAACTACAACAGAATAGAGGAGTGGATAGATAAAAATGTACGTATTTATATAAATTATTTATTTATATAAATTGTTTCAAGAAGTGCTTGAATAACTTCAGTGCTCAAAACACTCCCTGATAATGACCCACATGCTTGGGTTGAAATATCGGCACAAAGAAAAACCTTAAAAATGACTGCACCCTGACTATTTATCACCTATGATATGTAGAACAGTCGAATAACTTCCTTCAATAATATATCACCTTATTACTGTTAATATACACTCTTATTACCTTTATACTTTTTTATTTATTATTTTACTGATGTTATTTTATATTTGGTAATTTTTAGCCCTGATGATGACCCACATGTTTGGGTCGAAACATTGGCTAACCCAATAAATATTATCATGATTGAAATTGCTGAAAATTTTGTTTCATCCTCATAATTGATCAGTCCACTGTTTAGCCGCTCAAAACTCAACTTTAAATGATCTTAACAATGATAAATTCTATTGTCATAAATAAGGTGCTTTATAAATGGAATTAAGTAGGGAATTCCAAATTGAGGTAGCACAATTACAAAGGATTTTTCAAAGGATGGTGTTTTGTGAGGGGGTAAATTCAGATATGAAGGTACGAATCTCGTATTTTAGGGATGAATTGAAAAACAGGGTATACTGGGGTCAAGAATGTGGGATGATTTCTTTTTGTTCTCCAGGATTAAAATAGAAAGGCCCCAAGGAGGTACTGTCAAAGGAAATTAAGAAATAACCAGCCTTGCTTGCAATATCTGTAAGAGATGTGGAAGCCTCCGGGAACACCTAAAATAAATCTTATGAAACAATTCATTAATCTTTTCAATCTGATATAGTGATCTCTAGATAGTCTCCAATACATTAGGCACCCATTGTCAAAGTGGGGGGAATTAATTTTCAAAGTCCAGCGGTTAATGTTATTAATGTCATCCTGGAGCTTGAAGAACATCAAGCTAGAAGGGAATATGTATTTGTAGGCTACCAGCATAGTAATGGTAATTAGAATTACTGATAATGTTATTTACTATTGGCTAGAGAAATATTCTGGAGTTAGGAGAGGAGAATCGCATGATCAACAGATCCAAAAGTTGTTGAGAAGTCAAAGAGAATTATGGTGGTATACATAGTCGTCCCTTATACTCCACTATTCCCCTATTGTCCACAAAAGACTGGTGGTCAGAATTCACCCCTTCAACTTCCCTTCTACTATAGACATTTAGGGAAGATAGAGGGCCCTTCATCATTCCCAAAACTCCCCTTTACTCTCCCCACTCATTACAACTTATATTTAACTGATAAAAAATGTAATTACGGTGTTATTATTATTATTTTTGCTATTATTATACTTCTAAAATTATTATTTTTGTTATTATTATACTTCTGCCTAAATAAAATCTAATGAAATGAAACTTCTTGGTTCAAACTATTTTCTGAGTATTTAAGAGGTAGGTTAAAAGCTAAAAAAGAAAATTTTTATTTTGACTGATCATCCCATCCTCCCACCTCTTCAAGTATTCACTACAGTCAACCATCACCCCACAATTAAAAAAAAAAACATGGGAGGAAATTTTGCGCTGAATTCAGTGCTAACGGAGAACACAGGTACGTATGTATTTTCACTTAAAAAAGTATTTAAAACACAATTCATACGTTTACTTTGATAGAGAGTAAAAGTGCCATAGATTAACTTTAAAAGAGGAACAAACAATTTTAAGGCATAACTAATGAACTTTATAATTCTTTAAAACATTAATTTATTTTTGTGGATGATCAAGTCAAAAAATATGAAATTAATACACTAAATAATCAAGTAATTACTTATTATGAAAATGACTTATACCACTTCATTCAACCCTTTCATTAATAAATATTTTTAAAAACCTGATTTATTATCTACTTCAATTTCCCTTTGTCTAAAAATACCTATTTCTGCTTTTAAAAAAAGGGTGGTAAGTGAAAGTTGTGTGATGCACACCACCCTGAAATTAATTGGTTTACAACTGTTGGTGCTGTTCAATCCCTTAGATCATTTAAAATTTTGAAATTATTTTCAATTAACTATTATACACAGTTGCCACCAATCGGTATTCCAATTGGTAAATACTTCGCTATTGCTACTTGTTCTGCTGATCTCTACCACCCATTTACCTAATGTATCTGTTAGGTCCAATGGAAAGTTGTCTTAGGAAGCCATTAAACTATGCCAAAATTTATCTGGCAGATTTGGAGGACCAACTCGGGTGATGGATTATGGTTTATTCTGGATAAAGTAATACAAATAAAATAATTTCCTGGAATAGAACCTGGTTTAGGACACAATGGGAAATACAATACATATATATACAAAGAAATAAGGTAGGCAATTGAGGAATTCAAATCAGATAAGATTTTACTAAAAAATTAAATGCCTTTACTAAGAAATCAAGATGTATTTGTTTTAAATATTGTAATAGTATGCCAAATATTAATGTCAAGTTTGTCAAATGAACACAAAGCCCTAATGTTATCTCTACTTGGATAAAACTAATACTTGGATTTTTTTTACACCTTAATATTTTTAAATTTTTAAATATAAATTCAATTATATTAATCATGTTTACTTATTGTTGAACTATTAATTTAATTTATGTATTGAAATTGACTACATTTTACTTGTATTTTGTTATGTGTTTTTGTATAACTTTTATTTCTAAAAATTGTTTCCTAAAATGTTTCAACAAAGCTATTATAATAGTTCTAATCCTTGTTATTGACTATTTGATACCAAAAAATATTTTAAAAAAAATTATGTAAAATAGTTTATTAAAGAAAATGGACCACGACCCCCAAAGTGGGGCTAAAACGTTGTCCATTAAAATAAATAATGAATATGAAGTGTGAAACTTCACAAATTGGTTTACATTAAAACAAGCTTTACAAAAATAGTAAACACAATATTTCAGAAGTAAAATAATAACCAAAATTGCACTTCCTATAAGGTAAATATTATGAAATTAAATTATTAATTATCCTGTTCTTGCTAGTATGTTTCAACTTGTAGGCATTCCCTATTTAAGAGGGCAATGGTCTAACTACCCATAGTGTTAAATATAAATTGAGCTAAATTGTTGGATATGCTTGAGACTTACTATTTTTATCTGAAAAAGTAAGTTGTAATTCCTTACTAAGAAATTTATATAAATCTATACCTGCCTTTATAGTACTTCTAGTAAGATATCAATATCTAAAAGCTTTACTTTTTTATTTACACCACTTTAAATGATTCAATAATAATTATTTCTTAAATTAAAACTGGATCATTGTCCGTTACAAGGAAAAAATTAATTGAAAATGTTTGACAAATTTAATTAAATTACATGATAAATTAATATTGTAATATTAAAATCTACTATCATCAAAGGAACAAATTCTATAAATGCAAAACATAGTATGATAAGTTTTAACAAAGCTAATTGACTTCCATGGGCTTTCTGTCTTTTTATTTAAGCTATTATCATATAAATATCACTATGAACACCAACAAATCAAAATATATGAGAACACTAATACACTTGATAAGGATATTGCAGCAAACTTAATACTTTCCAAGAGTTTTCTTGTTTTTCAGAACTGGCACTCTTTTTAAAACTTGTGAAGTGAGGAAATATATTTTCTCCACACTAAATATTTATTTAGTCACCCATAGATAATAATAAAACAACAATTTATTGTACGGTAACACCACTGTTACCTTCTACTACTGAATCGTTGGAAGGGAGTGGGGAAAATGTTCTCATTGAATTCAGCTAAAATTTCCTCCCAAGCCTTTTTTTTTTTTTTTTTGTATTTGAAACAATATCTGTATCTTTATTTTCTATAACATCAGCTTTTTCGAGAACTAGAGATGTGAGGAACTGTAACTCCTCTCCACAAAATCTTTTTCTTTTTATATCATCATCTATATAATAAGAATATTTAAAAAAGGATAACGATAGTTTAATATGTATTTGAATAGTACAGTTACCTCCTTTACTTACTCAATGTTTAATCAATATTGTAACATGTTTTCGCATCAATGTTTAAGTAAAGAAAAAGCAGT